AAGAGCTTCATTATGATATATCATTGATTCTTTGTGGTACTTGATTTTCCGTGGAAAACTAAACAAGCGAAAGCACACCCGAATGCAAAGTTCCTCCGCATTTTCATTGATCGCAACAAAAAGTGGTCTCAGAAGATAATTCGATTTGTTTTGCCTTTGATTTCTCCTAGTCTCGACAAACGTTCATGCCTTCTAATACTCGGCGCTTCATCAATTTCTCTTTGCCTATCTTTTTTTAAGGAAAAATGTTAATTTTAAAATAAAGAAACAACTTGAAAAAGTTGTGTTAACCTGTGCTTTGTCACACACCCGGGTTGAGATCCGCGACTTGAAAAACATTTTAACCCGTGGCGCGGCCACAAACTTCATCTTAAAAACGGTATGCCAAGCAACTAGGAAAACACTGGTGGCGCGACAAAGAAAAGATTATGGCAGTGCGACTTAACAATAGATGTTCTCTCGCAGTTTTAACGGCGGGACTACAATTTTCAGTCTAAGAACAAGAAAAAATGATGCCGACGCGAATTAAGAAAGACTGAAGGCGCGATTTACAGTCAAATATTGGCGCAATTTAGAAAAATACTGTACGGCGCGACTTTGAACCCCGGCACAACTACAAAATTCATATTAAAAACGGTACGCGGCGCAATTTACGTCTTGAGTTTCGGACCTTGTCATGAGCATGATTATAATCAGTGCAGTGGCGTGCACAGAATTTTTTTTTTGGGGGGGGGTCAGTTTTAGTTTTTCTACAAAAAAAACAATATCAAACAAAAAGTCTTTTCAAAAACTAAAGAGACGCAAATTATACAGAGTATTAAGTCAGTGAATTTTGAAGTCCTGCGCAATGAACAATTCAATTTTGAAGTCCTGCGCAATGAACAATTCATAGAAGCTGTAAACGTCGGTTTTGTAGCGGAATGTTCAGACGATTTCATCTACGTCAATTGTTTTTTATGTATACATAAAAGAGCCAGCGATGATAGCCGGTCTTCGCGCATGGTTGATCTCAAGTATGTTTTAAGAACTTCATCGCAAAATGAATCGATCGGCCGTGCATACAGTGACCGGCAAGCTGGCAAAAATTTGCACAAGGGCGTACAAACACCGTTGGCAATAGAGTCTTTGCGCATTGGCTTAGGCTTCTCTAAAGGTCGATGGAGCCAAAGCGTTGCCGGACCATGTGTTTCTCCAAACCTCAAGCTCAGATTCAAATTTTGCATCCGGAAGAATTTCAGAATAAAGGGCTAGGGTTTGTTCAAATTTCTACACATCAACTGAGTTTCTAACCAGGTATACTGGAAGAAGTTTAATGAGATGCAGTACTTGAAGGGTGGCATCAGCAAATTCTGACATCAGAAAATCAAAAAACGGCCAATACAGTTTTTGTCGATTATAGTCTTCGGATGACTGTACGTTTTCTGGTTTTCGTCTTCGCCTGTAATCAAGCTGATCTGGATCTATCTTTTTAACACTCGTAGGATATTGCTAAAGAAACCATAACCGAAACTTCTCGCCACTTCTGGAAGACTGACAGAAGACTCCACATTTGACTCAAGCATTTTTGTAGTTCCAGAACTGGTCCTAGCAGGGTTGAATCTTGAGGTTTTCGTTACTCCAGAGTGAACATGGACACAAAAACACGAAATGAAAATATACAGGTAAGAAACGCATTCCGAAGCAGCATGATCACCTGGCTAAGGACTGATCTCTTCTAAGGTCTGAGTAACTGTGGAAAAGAGGGTGAAGAAAGTCTGCACTACTTCTTGTCTCTCAACCCATCGAGTGTCACTTATCTTTGGTATAACTGTCTTCTCACTGGTTGGGACCAGCCTTGTGACAACGTTTGCTGAGCCTCGCAGAAGATTGATAATTTTTGCCATTAGACAGATGCAATGGGCGATGAGAACGATTTCTGTCAAAGCACTGACGAGTAAATTTAGGCAATGAGACTCGCAGTTAACGTACAGCGCTAATGGGTGTGGTACTCATTTATGAGAGCCTCTACACCTCCACTGATGCCGGACATTTTGGTGCTCTATCGTAGCTTTGTCCCACAGCCATTGCTTCCAAGGAGACGGGCGTAGTTTTGCAGCATAAGTTGACCTGTTGAACTGATGATGTACCGAGTAGTCATAGTTATAAATTTGGCCTCCTTCGGACCACGCGTCTCTATGAACGTGATCGATATTTACACCAAGTGAATCCGACTGTGCTGGCTACGAATTTTCTTCTGTGCTTGTTACGATTTCGCTATTTACAATGCTTACATTTTTACGTTTTGGCTTACCACTTTTTGTATAATTGCTCTCCTAGAATTTTTTGACATTCTGGTACAATTTTTTTCAATTAACTGACAAATAGGTTGTTTGATCAAACTAAAACGTCAATCTAAAAACTATAAGTATTGAAAGTTTTTTCTAAATTTTTCATAGTCAGTTTTAGGTTCATGATATTAATAATCGTTCTTTTTCTCAGTTACAATCCATTAATTTTCAAACGTATTGAGAGCAAAAATTTATAATTGCTGTATACGAGCATTGGGGAGCATGAAAAGTAGTGTTTAAATAAGTATTTAAGAAATCATACAAAAAAAACTAATTTTCATGAAAAAAAGAAGTCTAAAACAGAAATTTTGTTCCGTTCTAATTTTGAAAAAAAGTTACGAAACAATTTTGCTCGGGTGAGATATTTGATGTCCTGATAATTACGCCCAAAATAAAAATCTCACCTGTGACAAATTTCATCTAAATTATGGGAGTTTAAACGCTGCTTTTTTGGATACTTTGGGCTAATTTATTAGCGATTTTTTTAATTTTCTTTTAACTCGTAGCGTATGCGGCAAATTGAATTTATCAAGTGGAATTGAGGTGTAAGATTGCTCAATATAACTTGTTGTTTGAGAAATAATTATCTTCATACTTAACACTGTTATTGGGGAGAAGACTAAGCAAAAAACATAAAAAACAAAAAAGTCAATTTTGTAACAACTAGATGGGTTTTTAGCACTAAAAGTCACAGAATTTACTTGCTTGACTGTTTTTTTCCTTTCCGGCCAATTTTGGAGCTGGAAAAACGGCTTAAAGAAAGATTTGTTATATTTCTCAATGAGGATATCATTAGCTTGCGTTTAAATACAAAAGAAAAATATTTTACCTAGCATCATTTTTGTTGATATTTCGGGGGTTTGATAACTGTCATCTTGCCCATGTTCGACCAGTTTAAGCGCACTTAAACTTACTGTCTCTAAAATTCTACAAGTTTACCGCAAAATTCTGTTATAAGTTAAATTGAGGCAAAATAAATAGTCACATAAAACTGAAATATTTAATGATGGAATTTAGGTTTAAATACCTTGGGCAGCCATCCTTTAATATATACAATCAGTAAAAAAAGTATTTTGAATTCATTTTATCAAAATGTTCTTTTTCGGCAAATTCAGTTTTTCTTAAAACCAAAATGGTTTGAATTTCTTTGGCGTTTCAGTTCATACAAAAAACTAATTTTCATAAAAATTTAGCGCTCAATTTTTAGCGCTCAATTGAACTTTAAAGGTTAAGTGATTGGAAAAATCTTTTTAGTTTAGAGCTGGTACAGCAAAACTTTGCAGTTTTTTTCTTAATTTTGTACCGACGGAATTTGTTTGCTTTATCGTTGTCTGTCTTGCTTTGCTAACGGACCGGACTTTAATTGGTTGCAAAAGTTATAATAAATCAAAGTACTGCTTTGAGCTATCCATTTTTGGCTGACTGTCGCTAAAACAATTCTAAAGATGCTTCGGCGCCACTTTATACTTATTATGAGGGAAGAGCGCGCGCCGAAAAAACGCGATCAAAAAAATGCTCAAAACGCTATTTTTGGCCTTTTATCAAAAATTTTTTCTAATGCCGTTTTTTTCAAAAATTTTGATAAAATACGGTCTTATAGTCATTTGTAAGAGCACAAAAAATCAATTTGATTGACTTAAAAAAAAAGTAGTCAAAACTTTTAAAATTTTTTTGAAAAAAACCGCTCCCTTGAGAAAATGCTAGGTCCGCCGCTGCCTGTCTACGTGCGTTCATGTCGTCCACAGATATTCAAAACTTACCAATTAAAGATGAGCTTCAAAAACTTTTGCATCTGATTATTGGGTTGTTTTCGACCCATATCAACACATAACACATAACCACAAACACTTAAGAATAAATGTGGTTTGGTTTTCAGCCTATTCATCACCGAAAACTCGTCCTGGGTAGAACTTGTCCCGCTGCTTTTAAATTGGACGAGGTTCTTCAGCTAAAATTTTTTGTGGTCTGTTTGCAGTCTTTCGGCTGTTTCTTTATTATGTCCATCAGTTTGACCTACTTTTTTGCTGCGTTTGAGAGATTAACTTTGAATTATGTTTTAAGTTTTAAATTTCAGATTTCCATCTGAGACCGCACTAGCTATTCAAGCATTATTTCTTTGTGATAAAAAAAACTTCAGTGGAAAAAACAACCGAGCTTTTTATTTTATTCACACTAATACTTTGATTTTTTTCAAACTTTTGTCTTATTAATGTTATATACTCCATTTTTTTCACATTAATTTTCTCAAAAAAATCTTCATAATATTTATAAACTTGAAAATGTTTTACCACCTCTGTAATCAAAAGAATTAACTTCTATGCCAACTGGGGATTCAAAATTTGTCTGTTTACATAAGCATTCATTTGTTTCATTGATATCAGACGATAACGTTATCTTGATAACCGAAAAGGCGTCGAACTCAGTGACTTTTGTTGCAAAATTTCTACCATTTTGGAACTTTCGAACACTGCGAAACTTATCCAAGCGAAACATTTAGCAGCCAATTCATCACCATTAGCAATATTAAAAGTAATGCCTTATTGTTGATTATATCGGTGATCTTCAGCGCCTTAGTCGTCAAAAAAAAACTTTTAGACAAGCAAATCATTTATTAAATATACATAACTGTAAAATAAATATTCCGTTTTGTTCGAAAGTCCGAACAAAAATGGGGTGATCTAATGGGAAAGTCACGACTAATTAACTTAAATTCACATTCATAAAGATACAATTTCCATAGTAGCAAGGCGTTTACTTTGTTGAGATCGTCTGATCGGGTATTCGACCCCATGTTAGGGCAATGGAAGTGTGGGAGGACAAGCTCTCACTTGACCTCTAGCTTCAGGTCTACCACAACCTGACCAATTTAGGCTTCAATAGTGGTACCACGTGAAGTTCCAGAAGTAAAAAAAACGACCTTGAGTCGCAAAAATGGGCATCGCTCAACTAAAATCACTCAATCTGGTAGATGGGAAGATTATTCAATTGGAAAAACTATATTACTGTGTTATATAATTAGTAGCAAAAAGTTCGGACAGACAGATTTAATTGAAATGAGCAATCAGTTCTTTTCGACGCAGAGACCAAATTCAAAAGAGACCAAATTCAAAAGCATGATAGTCGATTTTTGTGAGACCAAATTCAAAAGCATGATAGTCTATTATCCGATGATTATGCTAACCTAATTTTTGAAAACTGCGATGAACATCCAGATTTTACTATTAAACAGTTCGCAAAATTAAATAAAAAAAATTGAAATTTAGATTTATTTTCAACAACAAAAAACAACAGATTAGGCCGCCCCTAAAAAAAACGGAAGTGAAGATGATCAACTTATTCAAAATTTGCAAACTAATCGCAGAAAAACATCAGCCATCCTGTGCAATATTTTTCCTGTTTCAACGTTTACTAATCGACGCTTCGGATGCAATTGCCCGCCGTCGTTATAAGTGTTGAGCGAAACTCTGCTTTACGATCTTTCGACATTAGGTTTATTTCAGTTTCAGATGTCTAGACAGTTGCTCTTTTTAATTAATTCTGTCTGTCCGGACTTTTTGCAATTCTCTATAGCTCCTCTGCAGGAATCACAAAAAAAATTCGTTGACCGAAAAGTATTCTAACAACAATTGATAAGGCATTAACTATAATTATCCCAAAACACCGATTTCTGAACTATTGGGACCGCCGATATTGCAGGCACTATTTCACTTGTCATTTATTTATCAACATGACATCTCCAGATGGTTTGAACCCGGGAGAGGCGTGGCTGAATGATCTAGTGACGACTGTATCGTCCACTTCCGATGAACTGGCCTTCTACCAGAGGACAGCTGCCGGCTACGATGAGATCGTGAAACACCTGGACGTCGAGGCACCCGACCTCTGCATGAAGGCTATTTGCAACTTCGAGCAGAAAACTGGTAAAGACCGGGGGCTTCTCTTATGCACGAATGACCGAATGGGCAAATGCGCCAAAAAACTTTCCGCCAATCACAATTCATTATTAATAAATTTGATGGAGTTTAACCATAAAATAAGTCAGTTTTGGACACCCGGGTTGACCATAAATGCTTATCATACAACTCTCATAAATGGAAAGGTGCACTTTAAAGGGCGTTGATTGGTTGAGAACTACTTTCGCACATTCGGCCCTTCGTGCATAAAAGCAACCACTACTGGTTAGTATTCCAACGACAATGTTGGTAGTGTTATAGTTACGTCTCCTGGGGCATCGAAAGATTTTTAAGTTTCACAGTCGCAAGAAAGTTTTTTGAGTAGCAGGAGGCCCTTTTGCAGTCCCCCACCTTTGATTTTTTTTTATGAAATTGAATTCGAAATTCTATTTAAATTGACTTTTCATGCTATAAACTGCATTATCAAAACGTGTCAGCATGAACAGATGAACAAATTTCTACAATATTTCTCACAACATGCTAATTGCCGTGTGAACAATTTGAAACAGCTTTATTTTGTTCATTTATGGGGGGGGGGCAGGGTGGTGATGATAAACTGGAAAAGAGCTTACCCATCTTTTTCATGTGGAACTGCCAAGCATTTCAGTAGATTAGTTCAACCCGGGAATGTGGATTGCTAACCGGGAACGTAAATTGGAGATTACTCAACGGGTAAAAATCATTTTGCTCCAGTAAGTTTCCAGCTTGCTGCTGTTAATTGACAGTCAATTCCAAGTTTCTCTGTTATTTTTGATCACGAGATCACAGACGAAAAAAAAACAAGAATAGCCGGCTACTGTGCAGGTAGCATAGAATTTTCCAACCGCAGTATTTAAAAAAAAACATTTAAAAAAAAAAGTATCGTTTTTTTCTCCGTGGTGTGATAAACGATCTGAACAAAAATATAGAGCTTAGGCGTATTTGACACTGCTAGTAAAATATGCCAATTGACCAATACTTGTTGCAAAAATTGACTTGAAAAACTATTCATTAAAAAAACCATTGAAAAAAAAAACAATTTCAAAAACCAAAAAAATTTTCAAAATGGCGCTCAAAAACTCCCACAACTATTTTATTTGAGTGAAATTAAGTTTTTATGGCTTAAATTAAGCATAAATAAGCTATTATACTCCTGCTCGCTCGCTTTATTCGCTCGACTTTAGACCGAAAATAAAAAAACTTGAAACATATTTTTCTCGATACTGGGACAGTTTTCATAATTTCGTTCGAATCACGACTGAAAGAGCTTCAATATGATATATCATTGATTCTTTGTGGTACTTGATTTTCCGTGGAAAACTAAACAAGCGAAAGCCCACCCGAATGCAAAGTTCCTCCGCATTTTCATTGATCGCAACAAAAAGTGGTCTAAGAAGATAATTCGATTTGTTTTGCCTTTGATTTCTCCTAGTCTCGACAAACGTTCACGCCTTCTACTACTCGGCGCTTCATCAATTTCTCTTTGCCTATCTTTTTTTAAGGAAAAATGATAATTTTAAAATAAAGAAACAACTTGAAAACGTTGTGTTAACCTTTGCTTTGTCACACACCCGGGTTGAGATCCGCGACTTGAAAAACATTTTAACCCGTGGCGCGGCCACAAACTTCATCTTAAAAACGGTATGCCAAGCAACTAGGAAAACACTGGTGGCGCGACTAAGAAACGATTATGGCAGTGCGACTTAACAATAGATGTCTTCTCGCAGTTTTAACGGCGGGACTACCAATTTCAGTCTAAGAACAAGAAAAAATGATGCCGACGCGAATTAAGAAAGACTGAAGGCGCGATTTACAGTCAAATATTGGCGCAATTTAGAGAAATACTGTACGGCGCGGCGCGACTTTGAACCCCGGCACAACTACAAAATTCATTTTGAAAACGGTATGCGGCGCAATTTACGTCTTGAGTTTCGGACCTTGTCATGAGCATGATTATAATCAGTGCAGTGGCGTGCACAGAATTTTTTCGAGGGGAGTCAGTTCTGGTTTTTCTACAAAAAAAAACAATATCAAACGAAAATTCATTTCAAAAACTAAAGAGACGCAAATTATACAAAGTATTAAGTAAGCGAATTTTGAAGTCCTGCTCAATGAACAATTCATAGAAGCTGTAAACGTCGGTTTTTGAAGCGGAATGTTCAGACGATTTCATCTACGTCAAGGGTTTTTATGTATACATTAAAGAGCCAGCGATGATAGCCGGTCTTCGCGCATGGTTGATCTCAAGTATGTTTTAAGAACTTCATCGCAAAAAAGAATCGGTCGGCCGTGCATACAGTGACCGGCAAGCTGGCAAAAATTTGCACAAGGGCGTACATACACCGTTGGCAATAGAGTCTTTGCGCATTGGCTTAGGATCCTCTGAAGGTCGACAGAATCGAAGCGTTGCCGGACCATGTGTTTTTCCAAACCTCAAGCTCAGATTCAAATTTTGCGTCCGGAAGATCTTCAGAATAAAGGGCTAGGGTTTTTTCAAATTTCTACACATCAACTGAGTTTGTAACCAGGTATACTGGAAGAAGTTTAATGAGACGCAGTACTTGAAGGGTTGCATCAGCAAATTCTGTCATCAGAAAGCAAAAAAACGGCCAGTACAGTTCTTGTCGATTATAGTCTTCGGCTGACTGTACGTTTTCTGGTTTTCGTCTTCGCCTGTAATCAAGCTCATCTGCATCTATCTTTTTAACATCTCGTAGGATATTGCTCAAGAAACCATAACCGAAACCTTCTCGCCACTTCTGGAAGACTGACAGAAGACTCCACATATGAATCAAGCATTTTTGTAGTTCCAGAACTGGTCCTAGCAGTGTTGAATCTTGAGGTTTTCGTTACTCCAGGAACATGGTTCAGAGTGCACATGGACATAAAAACACTGTGCGAAATGAAGATAAACAGGTAAGACGCATTCCGAAGCAGCATGGTCACCTGGCTTAGGACTGATCTCTTTTAAGGTCTGAGTATCTGTGGAAAAGAGGGTGAAGAAAGTCTGCACTACTTCTTGTCTCTCAACCCATCGAGTGTCACTTATCTCTGGTATAACTGTCTTCTCACTGCTTGGGACCAGCCTTGTGACAATGTTTGCTGAGCCTCGCAGAAGATTGATAATTTTTGCCATCAGACAGACGGGTAAATTCAGGCAATGAGACTCGCAGTTAACGTACAGAGCTAATGGGTGTGGTGCTCATTTATGAGAGTCTGTACACCTCCACTGATGCCGGACATTTTTGGTGCTCCATAGTAGCTTTGCCCCACAGCCATTGCTTCCAAGGAGACGGGCGTAGTTTTGAAGCATAAGTTGACCAGATGAACTGATGGTGTTCCGAGTAGTCATAGTTATAAATTTGGCCTCCTTCAGACCACGCGTCTCTATGAACGTGATCGATATTTACACCAAGTAAATCCGACTCTGCTGGCTACGAATTTTCTTCTGTGCTTGTTACGATTTCACTATTTACAGTGCTTACATTTTTACGTTCTGGCTTACAATTTTTGTTGAACTGATCTTTGTTCTTACAAATTTGACAGGTAGCTTCTTTGGCTAGACAGACATGTTGGTGGCCTTTCATTAAATTTCCGTCGCATTTAAAACATAAACTCCCTCTTTCAATGGCTAGGGTCGGTTCTCTCCTGACGTTTATTGTCTTCTGATGCTATTATGTACAAAATTTCCAGGCGTTTGAAAACTGTTGGCCATTTTTAGGTGGTTGCTCATTCCCTTCTCGTCGATAAGAGTTAAGTATAAGGTATCCATTAAAGGTAGAATTTCAATTTTTCCTGAATATCGTAATTTTTTGTATAGTTTATGAAAACGTCCCGTATTCATTCTTCCTCTCCACTGGAAATATTATAGCTCTTAACTTCTGTTTAAAAGTGTGAATCTTTAAACGTTAAGATAGTCAATGTGACAAAAACTACGGCAAGATAATTCGAACAATTTTTAAGAGATATGTAAGACTTTACTTTTCATGAACTTATGGCTAAAAATTCTCTTAACTTCTGCTCCGATGGATAAGACAAAATCGATCTGAGTTTTTTATCAGCCTCCTCTTGCATCAATCTATTAAATTGCTTAAGACCTGCCTTTTTAGAGGCTGCTTCTTTATCGTTAAAAAATATTTGTTCCGCTAGATTTCGATTCTTCGGATTCGTTGCCTTCTGGAGCATTTTGAAGAGCAGGCCGAGTTGTAGATTTCTATCCACAGCAATTAGCAGGAGTTCAATGTCTATGTTCTCTTTAGCTACTACTGCTAATTGGAACAGATCTCGCCAATCTTCCCACGAAGTTAGGGGGTCGATTGAGTGGTTCTGTCGGAATTGTGGAATTCATCTCACGCTTGATACATTATTGCTTGTCTGCGCCATGTTAAAATGCTCTAATGCTTTAACCAAGTCTTTTAAAAAAATAAAGAAATTCAAAACAGTGAACTGCAGAATCATCAAAAAATTGGTTAAAAAAGTGAGCTAAATCACTCCGAAGGATTGGACAGTGAAGGTCATACTAAGACCTGTCATTAAATTAATTAAATAAGACATCTAAAATCAGATCACAACAATACTAAATTACAACTCTTGCTAAATTTCAATCATGATGCTGAAAAGCAATTTTTAATGATATGCACTTATACTGATACTAAATTTTGACTTGTGAAGTTTTCCAATAGAAATTTTCAGGTTTTTTTGAACTAAGAAATTGAGGATTAGATATGATCTGTTGTTTTTTATCAGACTTATTTCACAAAGAAATGTTTCTCCCGGGGATCGATTCCTGGTTTTTCGTGGGCCCCACCAAGTTTGCAGAGCACTGCATTAACCTCACCCATGTCTACCAAGATTACTCGTTTTTTTTTTGCTTTGAAGCTGTAAGTGTATTGAACCATAGGCTGCAAAAATAATGCCTTGGTACAATTTTCACATCGAGAAAGCCAGCTTTTTTAGTAGTTTGTTTAACCGTTTTTCTAGACGGCTTAGGTTCTGAATAATTTTGAGAACCAAATTTAGAAGTTCCTTTAGAGGCAATTCGTTTGAGAAAAATGGGGTTATACCCCCTTCTATGGTGAAAAAAGAAAATGAAAAATGAAAAATGAATCGATATAACTTCGAAACACAAGCTGATATCCAAAGCTTTTAATCAACTTGGAAAACTGCAAAATGGGAACCAAACGCCAGTTCAGAAAGCATTTGAATTCATATTTGTGAAATTTATATGGAGAAAACGGCAAAAAAACAAAAACCTGTTTGAGAATAAATTAGCTACAGTTGCTTCATTTTGACCTAGTCCATATTGACAGTCAGCTTTTCTCAGTATTCTCGATCCAATTTTACAATAAAAATTTTTATTTCGACTTTTAATTCAGGGCGGGGGATATGACCAAAAAAAAACAGATAAGCAATTATTTTTAGCCATTTTTTCAAAATCTCGGGCCACATATAAGCAGTTGTGAAAACCATGAACAAATAAATAGGTTCACTAGTTTCTTGGGGTCTCCAACAGTGTATTTTGCTGCTGATTTTTTAATTATTCGAAGAAATTCATTGCTATTTTTGTTGATATCATTAGAAGAAACTGAATATATTGTTTTGTGCCATTTAGATCTCAGTAAAATCAGATCACACGTAATACTTTGTGAAATTTGACGAACATTGTCTACAAAAAGTGAGCTTTGAAATTCTCCAGGTGTCAAAATACCACGTGACGGCAGAGTGTTAGACATAGGGGCCGGTACTGGATTAAGCGGAGCTGCTCTGAAGAGGAATGGGTTCACTGGACAAGTAGATGCTCTGGAACCCTCGACCAACATGTTTCAGCTGGCAAAACCCAGAAAAATTTACACTGAATGGTTCCAAGAACTGCTTCTGGAAGACAAGGTGCAATTACCATGACCTCTTGTCTGTTTTCTTTTTCCAAATTCTAACCTATGCAAGTGTAAGACAACTGAGCCAGTAGCTCACGGGAGATCATTAATTACATCGACGCTGCTTAGAGCAATGACTCATCAAAAACAAAAACCAAATAAAATGTTGAAAATAATGTCTTCGTAGCAAATGGAAATCTATATGAAGAATTCAGCCATAACGCACCGAGGCTGATAAAGGATTTTTTTTGAGGTCGACCAATTAATTTTAAGTCGCCCGGTTGCAATGGAGACGCATTTTTGACCAATTATTCTGCGCCTCAGGCGTGTTTTTGAAAAAAAAAAACAGGCAAAAAAGCACGCTCGATCTTCAAATAAGTATATGTTGTCAACGCATATTGCATAAAAAAATTCATTTGCCAAAACTTTGTTTCAGGAGACTTCTATTCCAAGTGACTGCTACGATTTGGCATTTTCCGTTTCCGTCTTCAGTGACCGTTCAGCTACGTAAGTTTCAATAAATTTTTAAAGGTAAAATAATTACTGTAACATTCTGCCGTTTGATTTTCAAAACTGTTGCTGCAATGATACAACAGACGTTTTCTGTAGTAATACGACAACTCGCAAAAAAGACGAGTCGCAATAAAAGTCAACTCGCATTAAAGGACAACTCGCAAAATACTCATCACCGCAGTCGCGCCAACGTGTTGCGAGCTTGCTAACAGATGGTAGGACATCATACGAAATTAAGAGCCAGCTCACTGGCGACCTTGAACCAAAATTAAAAAAAAATCTTATTATTATAAAAAAACCTTGCGATCTGTCGTTTTTCTTAAATTTTGCTCGGTGTTTTTTGTTGCAGTTTTTTGTTGCGAGTTGTCGCGCTACTGTTTTCTATATCCAATGTGTTATTTTTCCTTTTTTCACGCTTGATTCAAAATTTCAATCTCCATATTTTTGGAATTTTAAATTGTCTAAATAGCTTAAAGTGAAAATCCGTTCACCTATTTTTAGAAGTAAATGCTTGCCAGAATGTATACGAATTCTCAAACCCGGAGGTCATCTGGCTATAGCTATGATGAAACATTTCTGGGCAAGAGACTTTGAGGACAAAGTGAAACACATGGAAGAGGAAAACTTGGCCCGACTAGTTTATGACGAAACACTGCTCGAAAAGTATGCAAAAGGACATCACGGATTAGTATTTATCTTGCAGAAACTCTAAAGGGACTAGTTTTGAATTGTCTGAGAAAGTAAAATCAAACAGAATCTATCAAGAAGACAAGGAAGATCTGAAAGTCAGGGCAAAATTTCCTTGTGAATTTTTTCACAATCATACATAAAAAAGCAGCACGCAGCCGTTCTTTTGTGTTTTATAACATATTTTATACCAAATGTAGCCTCGAATTTTGTAGTCCAGAATGGTGACTTGAAAGTTACTAATGCTCAATATAAAGATCAACTACAATTCTATAATAGTTTCCTATGATTCTTATTTAACTTTTTTTTGATGAGCTTTTGAAGTATTTTCCAGGGTTCATCGCAAAATCAAAGACCGCATAAAATGTCAAGCCGGATGAAAATTGTGTCAGAACTCTTTCAGTTTTGATTTGATCACTTTTTTGAAACGAGAAAAATATGATTTGGATTTTTGCTTTGGAAAACTTAGGGCTAAAAATATCTTGCTAATTTTTATGATTTTTCATTGAGAAAAATTTACGTTTCTTCTAAGAGTTAGTTATTAGTACCTCCCTTGCATGCTTGAGAAAAAACACAACTTTGAAAAATTTATATAAAACATGTTTTTTGTTTTTTTTTTTAAACATGTGGTCAGACCTGAAGAGATTCGCTGTTGTTCTGACCGCTAGAATTGGTGAGAAACTTTGTATTTGGGTGTAGTCTAGTGTTTTTGAAAATATTTTTTGACCCTAAATTAGGTACCAAAAAGGATCAACTGAAAAGATCAAATGATATATTATTTAGACGACATAAAAATTTCGAACAAATTTTTCGTTGGGAAAATCACCCGGTTTGAAATTTTTGAATTTTAGTCTAGTTTCGAGCGAATAAATCAAGCGAGGAACCTGATAAAAGGAACAAACAAGTTTATAATAAAAGACAAGCTCTTGTTTAGGTCGCAAAAAATTGGTGATACTCTGAATAAATTAGTTGTTAAAAAAATTTTAAGCGCCTTCCAGAAAAAATGTTGGGAGTAAGATCAAATTTTCTGACATTTCTTGGAAAAAAAACGAACTCATCATTCAAAGAAGTTGTTGCCCCATGTGCTTAATTCATTGTGACTATTAAATGTTTCTAAAACCTAGGCTTTCCTTTCGATCTTCTCCTTTCATCACAAAAAGGACAAACAATGGTACAACTTGAAAAAAATAAATTTTTTGTTTCTCAGATTTTGTGGTCAGAACTTTCTAAGCTACCTGCAAATCAACCGTCTATCCTTGTTCTTGTTCTATTTTATTTATTTTTCAACTAAGCCTTAAAAGCAATATTTCAATGACGGGCATTCAAAGGAAATACCTTGAAGTTCTAATAAGAGTGGAGCCCCGGGTTGATCTCGCATCGCTAATCATCCCTGATTGAGCATTATCACCTGATAGTGTCATTTTCAGCACTGAACCACTAGTATTTCATTGAAAAATTAAAAAACGGATCATTGATAACTGAGGAACAGAGCGCTGGATCAATGATTTTTCATCACTGAATCAGGGAAAAATGAGCCAAAAGCGACCATTGAAAATGCGTACGAACATTGTCTTCGGTTGGGTTTTAATTTTTTCCTACCCACAATTCAGGATCCACAATCAGATTAGGTTCAGTGATATATTTAATCAAAACTCCTGAAATCATGATTCGAACTATTTTTATAAGTTCTGAAAAAAACTACCATTTTTGAGAAAAACCGGCTTAAAACTTTTGAGTTTTGATTTAACTTTATTTTCTAAAAGTCTAGAAACTTTATTTTCTATACTTTTTTTTTATAAAATTAAACACATACTTTAAGAAAATCAATTTTGGTAGTTTCGGTTAGCGGTAAATTAAAAAAAACTCAAAATAATTAGAAAAAAAGAAAGAAACTTTTTAAATCTATTTTTGTTTGTTATTCAATCTTGAATACAATTGCTATCGATTATGCCTAGTATGCATCTGTTGCAGGGGCTGATTTAAGGGGGGGAGGCGGTGGGGCGCGGACGATCCTCATCCCTCAGGGATTCAACCCCCTGCCTAACCAAATGGTCCCCATTTGTACTATTTTGAGCTTAACATATTGAGGACCCTAAAATTTTTCTTAAGGCGCCTTTGGCGTCAATGTATACTTATTTTGATGGGGGAGAAAATTTAGCCAAAACAGGGTCTTTTTGGTTTTTGGTGCTTTGGCAGAGCTTTTTGAAAATCCGCCCCCACCCTCGAGAAAATCCTAGATCCACCCCTGATCTGTTGTACACATTCCTGCATTCCTCTCATCAGACCACGCACAAAAAAACACTAATTTAAAAAACAAAAGAACAAATGTTATGGTTTATGAAGGTGGTCGGATCATTATGTCCTAATTGCTCAGCAATCCTCGTTATACCAGATTTTTAGACACCAATATTTTAAGGCTATCGAAATGTTTTTCATTTCATTCACTTGATCTCGTTCGAAAACTCACAGCTACAAACTTAAAAAAACAGCACTCCTAATGCTTTGTGATATCGTGATTTTTATCGCTCTTATGAAGCTGTATCAATAAAAAAAATTAGTTGTTAGGGTAATTAATTACACAAACTGTACAAATATAATGAACAGCTCTAAATTTGAATCGTTTATCTGTGAAACTTTGTTAACGTTATCCAAAACAAATACGATGGACTTTTTGGTAGTTTTTTCAACCTGTACAATTGAATCACTACGAAAGTTGAGTTTTTTCTTTTGATAAAAATTTTATATTTCGAAAAAAATGTGCCTAATTCGCTTGCATTTTAAACTAGAGACCAGGGGCGGATCTAGGATATTCTCGAGGGGGCAGATTTTCAAAAAAAAATTAGAAAATTTTGTTGATCTTTAGTTTTTTTTAGGTCGACCAAATTGATTTTCCGAGCACTACAAAGACCCAGTTTTGGCCAAAATTTCTGCGCCGCAGGAGCAAAGTTTTGAAAAAACAGGCCAATAAAGGCGTTTTACGCACTTGTTGGAAAAGTTAGACTAAAAAATCGCGTTTTTCGGCGCGCGCTCTCCCCTCAAAGTTAGTATATACTGGCGTCAAAGGCGCCTTTAGAAAAAAAATTTAGGGTACCTTACCAAAAAATGGATATCTCAAAAAAGTACCTTTTGGGTCTGCAGGGGGTCTAATCACTAAATCCGCCCCTGCTAGAGATCAAAAGATTATTTGCAAAAAATTAACAAATTAAATTTCAAGCGTTTCAATTTTAAGCCTCTTGGTAACTTCGTTTTTATCATTAGGTATTTATTATAAAAATATGTTTTTTGAGACTTGTTAGAAAATTTCTAACAAGTCTCAAAAAATATATTTTTTATAATAAATACCTAATGATAAAAACGAAGTTACCAAGAGGCTTAAAATGAAACGCTTGAAATTTAATTGAAACGCTCGAAAAATCTATTTGGTCGACCTAAAAAAAAGGTCGTCAAAATTTTTTGAAATTCCGCCCCCCCCCATCGTGAAAATCTTAGATCCGCCCCTGCTAGAAATGGTTCCTGTTCGTAAAATTAGTCACCAGTATCTCTTTTTATCCTTAGTTACAATTGATTGCACGGCGTAGTAAAATTTTTATCCTTAGTTAGAATTGATTGCACAGCATAATAAAGTTGGAATTGCGACCAGCATAATATGATTTTTGGTTTCCTTTGCACTTGAAGTAGTCTCGTTCTGTGCACCGTTCGGGTCATCGTTCAGCCCGATTGGCGTATCACTCTTTTTCAATCAAATTTAGGCATTGCAATCAGTATTTAAATTTTGTAGAAAAGTGGGTTTTGCTTTATTTTGTCTGGTTTTGGAGGGAAATTGATAGGTTTGTAGCTAAGATCTGTTCTTAACTTCTCTCATTTTTGTAGTTTTTATAGATAAATAGTTTTTTTTCAACACGTAAATTTATTAGTCACGCGCTTGAAAAAAAAACAAAAAATAAATTAAAATTTGCAAGGCTAAAATAAGCAAATCTAAAATCAAACTTGCTACTATTGTCAATATTGATAGCTTATTTCGCAACTACCAAAACATCAGTTTAACATTGAGATGCCCAAGAGCTCAGACCGTCTCCGTCTCCGTGTCCGAATAATCCGATCCCGTGTCGTTTAACATTTCCTTCACCACTCGGTTCCACTCGGACTCGAACAGTTTCTTCAGTTCGCTCTTCTCTGATTGGTCCAGCAGAGACGTGGCGATGGAGTCGTATGACACTTGTTTGATCACGCTTAGGTCACTCTCTTTGTCTGTCATGGCGAGTATTGTGACGTACAAGTCATCGGTGATGGCCCTTGAAAAAATGAAAAAGCTTAACTTTCGAGATCCTTTGCAAAGAAAGACTCTTTTAGGTTAAGTTAACACTTATGATTTTCCAGATTTGCCCAGATTTCCAAGTATCGATGGACAAGGGAATCTATGTAACTCATTTGTTTTTGCTCAATTAAACTTTTGTGCTAAATTAATCTGGAGTATTAATCCAGAAAAAAAGTTTTGTTTTTCCTGTGTAATGAACCAGAAGGAGGGAATTTATGGAGATTAAAGAAAAACACAAAATTGTGGTCATTCACTTCATCGGACCACCAGCTTTTCTTTCACGACAAAGGAAATGTAAGGAGCTCCCCCAAGCAAAAGTTTTGTTGAAGTTGGGGCTTGGGGCGGCCTTTACTCCCCATTAGTGGGCATTGGGATATAAAATGAGAGATCCAAAATATCTTGAGAATGTTGTTTAAAAACGTGTTTCACTTAGTGCCGAAAATGAGACAGTCGTCCGAATTGACAGAGAATTGTAAAGGCGGGCGATTAAAGTAGGCAATGTCCATGAGTTGTTTGTTCCTGTGGTTGCGGATGTCATCCACCAGACCTAAGACCTGGTTCGATATAGGGTTCAACTCCACTCCAACTCCAAAGCGCCTCAGCCTCCAGATGACGCTCGGATGGACGTCAAGCGCATAGCCATGGCCTGAAACAGAGAAAAATACAAAAACTCGATGAAAGCCGTATCCTAAAACAAAAAGTTCAAGCCTCAGTCTTTGTATCATTTTCATCAAAATTGGCGTTTTTGGCAAGTTTTAAGCATTTTTAGAAATAGAACTGTTTAGACCAGGCCGCGGCTAATTTTTTGAACAAGCTGCGACTAATTTCTCGATCATATCGCGACTAATTTTTCGACAAAGCCGCGACTAATTTTTCGACCACCGCGATCGATATACGGTATTTCCAGAATTTGTCCGCGACTTAAAACCCTGTTCGAACTATGGATTTTCGTCCGCGGAACCAACATTGGCGCGACGGATTAAATCGGAAAATTAGTTGCGGACCTCGACCCGTGTTATGGGGATATGCAATAGTTTTGTTGGTATTTTTTACCGAATCAATTTTTAATCTAGTTTTGAAGTCTAGCCTTATTCAAGATGTTTGTTCAGTTAATGAAGCTGGGAGGGAAAAAGAATGAAAGAGGGTGCCTTTATTGCTTTTGATAAATTTTGGATCATTTTTTTCTACTGAAAAATCTCAATGATTCCGATAATTGTTTCATGGGCAACCGACCGATTCTTTTGGTACCCAGAAGAACAGCGTCAATCACATTTTCATCCACTGGAAACCCACTCCAGAGAGTCTCTCCTGCGTGGAACACAAACGGCATGTCACTTCCACTGTCGCTCCTCCACTTGAGAAACACATCCTTTAAAGAGGCCAGAGTCCTGCCTATTTCCTCGTACCCGACCAGGTCAAATCCCCGCACCAGTTTAGATGTGTTGTAGTACTTGCTGGCCAAGTTCAGTTTTTGCAGCAGTTTTGCGTCTGTCAAGCCTACCCGGTACTTGTTCAGAATTAAGTTCAGTCCGAAGAAGCTGGGATGTTCTTTGCGGACCTCTGCTATCTGCGAATGAGTTCACTTTTGAAACTCCCGCCTCCAGTTTTTTACTCGTAAAAGTTTGTTTATATAGCCCAATTCTAACGCAAATTGGCAAGCTGAATAACTATGCTATTTCATTATAGTTTCTTACAGAGTTTGTTACAATACCTTGTAAAATCGGTCTTTTAGCATAAAATTGAGGGAGTTCTAGGATTTTTTTATTATGCCGCTCTCTTTGAAAAAAGAAGCAGGTAAAAAATATTTTCAAGCTCCAAAAAAAAACGTTCCACACGTTCCCCACAAAAAAACGTGGAAAACTATTTAAAAAAAAACAGATATAACGTAATACGCAATGAAAATTAACTCATAGCTTTTTTCATTCTTCTAGATTGAGTTTTGTTATCACAAATTCTCTTCTCGCACTCAAAAGTATCAGACTTGAAGAGTTAAGTTTTCTCTCTCATAAAAATGGTGTTCAGTTCTTGTCGAAACGCTTTTTGTGTACCTAGTTTCTTAATGACTTACTCTTTCGGCGTAGAAATTCAGCGCATCTTCATAAGGAATCACTGTCCCATTTTTGTCGACGAAATCCCCAAAACCAGTTCTGAACTCTGCGTAGAGAACGTTGTCCTCTATCAACGTGTAAATTGTGGAGTTGAACAGTGCTTTCATAACATGCCATGTCTCTTTGGCTTTGTCCAGGGGATCAAATTTGGCTTCAAAATTAACCCAGATGTTCTGGACTGTCATGTTTTTGTAGTCATGTCCATCGTACATGCTGAGTTTGGTTTTTAGCAGAGATAATTCTGAAGTGTAGTTTGTGGAACCTGGCGGAGGGCAGCTTCTACACTGGAGTGATGAATTGACATTTGTTGATACTGAACAAAAATTTTATTTCAAGTATTTTTACTAATATAAACTATTGCATAAGTCAATTTTTTAAGAAAGCAAAGTTGAGAGTTGAAAATGAAAAACACAATAAAAAGGAACCGAGCAAATAAAACTATGTACACTGGGCATATTAAATGCGTTTCCAAAAAAAAACTACAAAAAGTGAAAACGAAAATTGACAATAATTCAACTAACAGCTTTCGTCCATGAAGCTTAGTTCGTAAGTGCCTTTCTCATAATCTTGGCAGATTTCACAGTTTTCCAAACTGAACAAAAGATGAGGCATTTTTTGCAATGAATGAGTTGCACTCATATGCGCATGTAGCAACCCTCCTTTTGGAAGTCGGTTTATCAATTCGTATACTTTATCGGTTGGAGTGCCTATGTATTCTTCATCTAACATAAACTCTGAAGGTCGGAACAATCGCTCGTTTTGATATCCATTTTCAAGGAGATCTTTCTTCAGCTCCACGTAGATTTTGCTCAGTTTTTGCTCACGTTCAGATAAACTCTGCTTGCTGCCAAAACGCCACAATTTTTCCTTGAACGAAACTCAATTTCTTTTAACAAACAAATTTACATGAAGTAAATTCAATTTTAAATTTTTGTTCCAATGCCAAAAGTTTTGAAATTTTTCTAGAAAATTTTGCAACTCGAGTAAATTTTATCACTTCAAAGGTACTATATGATAGAGTGGTCCCACGACAGCAACTAAATCAGGGACTGATTTGGGGGGGGGGGGCGGTGGGGCGCGGACGATCCTTTTCCCTCAGGGATTCGACCCCCTGCCTACCCAAATGGTCCCCCTTTTGTTTTAATTTGAGCTAACCATTTTAGTGACGGAACCTAAAATTTTTCTAAAGACGCATTTGGCGCCAATATATACTTATTTTGAGGGGGGAGCGCGCCCAAAAAAAAACGCATTTTTTTTGTCAAAACTTTTCAAAAACTTCCTACAAATGCCTTTTTTCGGCCTGTTTTTTCAAAACTTTGCCTGCGGCGCAGAATTTTATTGCCAAAACAGGGTCTTTGTAGAGCTTTGGGAGAGCTCGCAAAATCAATTTGGTCGACCTAAAAAAAAGTCGACAAAAATTTCGAAATTTTTTTGAAATTCCGCCCTCCCCCCTCGAGAAAATCCTAGATCCGCCCCTGAACTAAATAAACAAGTCCAAGATGCATGTCGCATTTTATAGTTTTGAAAACAAAGTTGTGATGAAACTAATCGTTTCACAAATCTCGCAAAAAATGTTGTGAGTTAGAAACTGTTCAGATTAACAACTGTAGTTTTTATCTTATTTATATTAGGAAATTTGCTTGCTTCAACCTATTTTACGGTTTAACAACCATAATTGGGTGAACTTATTTGTCATCAAAACTCAATGTTGGAAGTTTTTTGATTTTTTCAATTTAAAATGGTGATCGGGGAGGTTTTACGAAGTAATGAATGATAAAATTAATTGAAAATATACTGTGGCATCTTTCTGAATGGCAAAATTAAAACTATTGAACAATTTCAGAGCCCTAGAAATTCTCAAGGGACCTGGTTATTTTCAAGGGACCACTACATCATAGTAGTACCACTTCAAATAACGGCATTTCCGGGAGTACTTTGTCGCAATATGCTGCTGACAATCTTTTTGACGTTTGTCGGTACATTACAATTTTTGATGCAAGTGTGATGGGTGGTGGGTCCTGAGAAGCTTACACGATTTCTGATGTAAGCAGAGCACTTTAAAATTTTAAATATATTGCCTCTGTGATGTTACTTAAATCATCAAAATTGTCAAAAATGTTGAAAACTCAAAAATTTCCCTACAAAACCTTGTGAACTCAAAACCGTTTCTTTCGTAGTTATTGAAATCACTAGTGTGAAAATAAAACGTTAGAAACACATTTTTTGTCCAACTCGCTAATTGAAAAAAAATGAAACATGACAGACAGTGGACCCCTTACATCAAAGGAACAAAGTTCGTATATTTTGATACGGAAAAAAAACTAGTAAGTACTGAAAAGTTGCATTTCATTAATTGAGATATGCAACTTCACATCTTGTTTTTTTTCCAACGGCTTAGCTAGTTTTGCAAAATTTGCCGTATATTTTTCAATGAAACTCTTGGAAAGTGAGCTGATTTCAATTGGTTTTTTAATTTCTCAATTTTTTTTGCAATTTTCTCAGATAAAAACTGGGTATACTCACTATTTAGGGGCAAAAACCGATATAGTAGTTATCAATTTATCTTGTCTGTTCACAAAATTTTCTCTCATTTTGTTTTCATTTTCTCTAGTTGCGTTAATTTTTTCTCCAGTATATAATTAACTATTAAATAGATCAAGTTCATTTTGGAACGATTTCTAAGACGGAATAAATCTCCGCTTACACGTTAATAGCACAATATATTTTGCGTTCATTATCCCAAATTGGCAAAACAGGCAATCTTTAAACCCAAACTTAACAAAAGAAATTAAAGATAAAATATCTTTTTAATTTTGAGCTCAAAACATCTATTCAGTTCGGCTGATATGAAAAAATTTTCCGTCAAAAATGATAAGTTAACATGTTGAAGTTTGTCTGGAGAAAAAACAATCCCGGGAACGAATGCTCCGTCTTTTTTGTCGAAACTGTAAGCAAAATTATAGTTTTTCCGTGTGTTGCTGAATATTTTGTGTTTACTCAAAAACTGAATAACGAAAGAGTCTTTTTGAAAAAGAAGTAAAATTATAAGTATTCAGAATTTGTCGAGCTCGAATTGTAGATGAAACTTACTTCAGACAGTATTCCTTCTTTACATGACTGGTATGTTTCTGTGTCATTGACTCGATAACAATCCAATTGATAGTCATGTGGAGTAGCTGTTCCAACCGAGTAACTATTGATTAGAGAAATCAATAAGAAAAACTTAATTCTGGACATAGTGGCTGATCTCTGAATTTACCAACTGAAAGAAAAACCCGCATCCAGTTTCGAGCGTTTGTAATTAATTATATTTCGATTTTAGTACCATTATTTCTAAAATTGAGAAAAAAATCGCTTTAAATCAGTTATTAATGGATATGATCTCTCTTTTTGAAAAAAATTTATTATTTATTATAATACAATTTTATCAATTAAAATCGATTATTAATCCATCTTTTTTTCGACACAATTATAATTAATGATAAATTATTTATTTTATCCCAACATCTATTTCATTTGTTGTTCACAAAAAAACTATAATAATTAATTTTAATTCCTTTTGTTTCCCCATTTTTCTGCAAACTTGCATCTGAGTTGCTTATATTTTATGCTTTTCTTACACGTTGGTTTTTGTTAAAAAAATGAGAAAATAATCTTAAAATTTCCAAATCAATTCTAATTTATAACTTTTTGCTTTTTCATTTCTCCAGTGAAGTTGCTTCATGATGCACATTTAAAGTTTTTTCAAGACTAGTATCACACTGCTGTAAATTCAGAAATTATTCGGAAGATATACTTTTAACCGGGAACCTTCCAAGTAATTTGAAAGGAAGGATCTCTATGAAACTTTTGTTTTGTATTAAAACTTTGTGTTCAGATGAATCAAAGCGTGACAAAACATCTCGCTTTTAAAGATTTTGTTATTCACAGAAAAATAGGAACCCATGGGATTTGAATGAAATATACTTTTGGTGTGCTAAAAGTTTTGTGGAAAAAAGATGTTTTAATTGGTTATAATTAATTTAAATAGTTTTTTCTAGGAACTATAATAAATTATAAACAATTTTTATAGATTATAACCTCTTGGAAAATATCACAATTTAATCGATTATAAATTCTCTAAAAACCTGATTAACATGATAATCCGTTATAATCTATTACTGACGCCTAAACTTGGATGTGGGAAACTAATGAGAAACTTTGTTGGGAAGTAAAAAAAAGTTGATGTTTTGTCGAGCGCTATAACAAGCAAAAATATTTACTATTTTTTAAGTTCAGTTTCTTTCAGTAAAGCAGTATTGGTTTTCATGTCATCATTACCCGAAACTAATGAAATAATATAAATAAAAATTGAATTTGCAAAATTGAATTACATGTATTTAAAAAAGTAAGAACTACATGCAAGTAGTTTATACAGCGACAGCTCAAATGGAAGAATTTGGCTTTTAAATGTTACGTGACTTCCAGAACGGACTCATGTAACTTGAAAATATATACAAGCAGGCTCATTTTTGACTTCGAATGTTGATTTGACTCACAGAAATTGAAACTCAAAAAACTGAAAAACAAACCGAAAAAATGAAGAAGTAAAGAAAGCCAAGCGTTGTTTACCACTTGCTTGAAATGGTTAAATTTTCAATAAAAATTACAGGTTTTTCATCTTTCATGTAAAACCGTCCAAAAATGAACATACTGATTTTTAAATTGATACAAAAAGTGGGCTGATTTGTTTTTCGTCGGAATCAATATTTATGCTAATAGGCGCATATGCTTATCGTTACCCTCATGAAAATTATATTTCGAGTTTATTTCTTTGTCTCGTGGAATACTCATCTATAAAAATAACGCGATAGTTTTTCCAGACTGATGTGTATACAAGTAGGGGAGGCGGAGCAATAAGCAGAATGGTCCAAGTGCAGAATGGGTCCAAGAGCAGAAAAGCAGAAAAATATTGACTTATATTGGTTTATACGGGCTAATTGATAGAACAATTATTAAAATCGCCAAAAATTCGAAGAAAACGAATAAATTCTGCATGAATTGACTAATTTCATTAAGTTTTTTGTTTAATTTTTTCTGAAAAATTCTTGATTAAATTGCTCAAATTATGCATAAAATGTTCGTTGCTTTGCTATTATTGACGCTTCTAATAATTAACTTACCGATTCGCTGATAGAAGTTGATATTGTTATATTTTTCTGCTCTTAGACCC